CATAATGAATTTATGACGATTAACATTATTGTCCAATGAAAATGATGATGGGTGATTTCCAGGTGGTAGCCAGATAGGAAATAAAGCTGATGCTTACATGCTGTGGCCGTACGTTTATAACATGGCTGAGATTGAGACTGAACTCATTTATATTAATAGGATGATAGTTATTATATAACTTGAGGATTTAAGAGATATTATAGAATAGTCTCATGAAAAAAGATGCAAATTTGAAATCAAGAGGTACCAATCTTTTTCTTGCCATTCACTAGCTGTATGATTTTGGGAAAGTCACCCTATTTTCTTCCCCAAGGATAGCGTTAGAAATACCAATCCTAGCCCTTTGTGCAGGCTGAGAGTACAAAATTTAAGGGTTGGTGTGACACTCAAAGTAAAGAAAACGAGACCATATGTGAAGAAGCTCCCCCAGCTGTAAAGCTCTACGTAAGTGTAAATTATTCTTATGTCTAGTCTGGGGCTTGCTGTATTTTTAAGAGATAATAGTGAACTGGAGCGATGAGGTTATTTATGCACGATGTGGCCTGAGGGTTCCTCTGGGCCATCAAATGGCAGAGGGCAATGAGGGCAGATTAGCAGTCAGGTGCATGTGTGAGGTCCCCCTGCCAGTGGGTGAAAGCTTCAGTTCACCTCACAAGAGAGGCTCTTCATTCATGAAGAGCTTAGGAGCTTGACAAGATAGATACTCTCTTCTGATGTCTTTGAAAACATGCAGTGAAACAGCCTTGGGGTATCATCCCAGAGAGTTAAGGAGTCCCAAGTGGTCAGCCTGAAAATTCTGAGAGGACACAACTGGGCAAGCAAAATTTGATGAAGGGAGATTGAATGAGAGGGGAGCTGGCCGGCTTAGGGACTGGGATAGAAGGCATGCTACTTCACTCTTTTCAGCTGGGGTAGGAGGTCCCTCCCTGGCAACCCGGTGGCCTCTACTCAAGGAAAATGTGTATGTGTGGTGGGGAGGGAGCAAGGGCACACAACAGCTTTCCACATGCCATTTACATGAACATTTGGCAAGAAAGAATCCCATTTAGGAACAACAGTTCATGCGTGAGAATGATTAATATTGACTCTCTTTTAGAGAGCTTTCTAGAAACCCTCACAGCACCATTTATGGAGAAAAGTAGAAGACATTATCTCTGGCTCTTAGAGAGGCAAGGCAACTATACCCAAGATAACTGCTCTGTCTCCTTTCATGACTAGCCCTGTGGAGAAGGCAGTCTGACAAAGTTAGTTCTTTATGATTTCTTCTATCAACTCAAGTTGAAGTACCTGGCAGCAGGGCAGGGGCCTGGGGCACATGACTTAAGGAGGCACTCAGTCTCAGCGTGCTCTCCCTCAGTGCCTCCTTAAATTCTGCCTCCCGGAGCCTGCTTGCCTCACCCTGGTCCATGCCCTGCCTGGCAGACAGTGTAACACAGGCCCATGGGGAGGCCAGGGAGGCGCATTTTTACTTGCTGTCACCACTCAGCACCCTCTCCCCCAGTTCCCCTTGAAGCCTGTCATTCTGGCTGGGAGTATTCCTAGGAATTTCCACATGGGCAGGATTTCATGGTGAAAGGTTCAGTAGGACTTTCGTAAAGCTGGGTCTGTGAAAACATTTTCAAAGGCAAATACCCAGGGAAAGGAGAGAAGGCATGGTTTTAATAGGGTTTGATTTTCTATTTTGTCCAGTTTTTCCAGATTCTGTCTATGGCTCTAGGCTTTCTGGGAGGAGTTCTCACTTCTCTGAAGCTCCCACTTCTCTGGGGAAGAGTACTGGTAGAGATGGAAGCTTGGAGGATAAGGACAGGCAGTGAAGTCCCTGAGATGTAGAGGGGAAGAGACACAGGGGCCGTGGCAGAGGGGGTGGGGACAATGGGTAAAGTGGCAGCAACCAGCTTGGAAATCTCCCGGGTAAAACTCGAGACTCTGCCTGTAAGATTGGAACCTCCTTGTTTGACCCAGGGAGCACAGGACCCATTCTCCTCTTTATTCTCCATTCTCCATCTTTATTTTCAAGAGGCCAACCTCCTGAGGAAGGAGAGAAAGGCCTCTTGAAAATACAGCAGCTGTCGGGAGGCTTTTCTTGTCCCTTCTTCCTTCCCCCCCCCCTCATTGTCTAGGTAGCTCGTGGCCCCTCCTTCCTTCTGTGTATCATACTTACTTGATCTATCAAATCCTCCACTGCCTCTAACATTGACTTTGGGATCCTGGAAAAGTTCAGTCACTGAATTAAACACATTAAAACACATCCTTCCCAACAGAATGCAGCGCCCCCTTATTTGTCACTGTGCAACAATAGCCCTTTATCCTTTCCACACGCATCGCTCTATTTCACTCAACAACTCCAGATGTTAGGTAATATTATTGTCCCCACTTTATGGATCAGGAAACCGAGGCTCAGAGTAATGGGGACTTTTTCCAACCAACCAGTACGTGCTGACTTTGGCAGCAGAACTCAGCTTTTTGGATTTCTATTCCAGAACTTTTTCTCACAAGCCTTATTGCCCCCCTGTGAACTCCAGGACGGGCCCTGCAGAGCAGTCAGGATGTTTCCATCAGCTTCACCCAGCCCTTTCCCCTGTCCTGACCACTCTGACTTCACCTTTTTTGGGAACCGATCCCTCTCACTCCATCACATCCACGTCCCCACACCCAATCAAGCCCTCACCTGAGGGGTCCAAGTAGGACACTAGCAAGTAGATGGCGAAGTCCAGGAAAGAGCAGTTGCAATTCCAGGGGTTCCCGCTCAGATACAGTTTCTCCAGTGCTAGGAGATGCCTGAAGGCATTGTGGTCCAAGGTCTCCAAGCCGTTGTTCCTGAGGTCCAGGTGTCTCAGAGAGGTGGTGTTGGCAAAGGTGTACTTGTGAAGATATGCCAGTTGAGGGTTGTTGGCCATGTTCAGCTGCACCAGGTTGGTGAGCACCGAGAAACTTAATGGGGAGATGTAGGTGAGGTTGTTGGAGCTGAGGTCAAGGTAGATGAGTCTGAAGACCCCGACGAAGGTATAATCCATCACCTCTTGGATCTGGTTGTTCTGACAGTCCAAGTAAACAAGGTCACTGAGGAGTCCTAGGTGCATTGCTGGCAAACTAGTGATTCTGTTATCGTTCAGGAAGAGCCTCCGGGTGTCCAGGGGGATGTCAGTGGGGAATTCGGTCAACTGCTTCCCTGTGCAGGTCACTTCTTGGGCTTGACACAGACAATTATTTGGACATGACCCTGATACCAGCCCCATTCCAAAGGAAAAAAGTAACCACCCGGGGCCAGGGCCTGACGCAAGGGACATAGTAAGAAGCCACAACTACTCTCCTTCCACTTTCCTGCGGGCAGGCGCTGTCCCTCTGATCCGAAGGCTGCCGGTGGGGGGACGGGGCGGGGGAGGGGCGCTGGAAAGAACTGTAACACTCTAGCTTTGTACAGAGCAATTTTCCATTACAGGAGAACTGAACAGAAATTGAAACGGGAGGCCTGATGCCCTGCTGCCTGGCTGGGTGGCTTTGCTGGCTTGCTCAGTCCCAGACTGCTGCTGGAAGCTGGCCCACTTGGCGGCTTTGAAAGGTCTCACCCTTCCCCTGCCTTTGTGAGTGAAGGGGAGCCAGGGGAGAGCCACATGACAATGAGGTTGCCAGTCGACACCTTTGTGATGTCAGCAGCCTCAAGAGACTGCCTGGCAGAGGGAAAGAAAGAGACTCCTCACCTCTCCTTCTGGGGAGTGTGGGGGTGTTTTGTGTATCTCGGTAAGCTGGCTGTCCCCAGGGGAGTCAGGATTTTGCGGGTGGGGGTCTGCAGTGTGTGTGGGTGGGGGGAGGGGGACAGACACAGCTTCATTCTGTGAATAGGGGTAGCCAGTGTGTGCTGGGATATCTGTACCAGCTCCCCACCAAGGTGTAACAGAAGATTAGGGGGAACTCAGAAAGTCTCCAGTTCGGTTTCTTTCTGTTCTGACGAGCAAAGTGACTTGCTTGAGGTCAGTTCTTTCCTTGGGTATTAAATTTGGATGGATGCCATTTTTTTTTGGTGTCTGTTGTCAAGAGAAGATGGGAAAGGGGGTTCTCCTTTGAAATGAGGCAAGGGGAATTCCTCTGATAAGATGGTTCTCTTTAAAATGTTATTCCTAGTTTGCATACATCCCTCTGTGCATTTGGAATATATATCTGTGTACGGTAAAAAACTTTTTGAACAAGTATAAGCTACTCCCCCTAAAACAAAACCCAACGGGTATTTAAAATATCTGAGATGATAACATGAACTACTTTTTGCTTGTATTCTTCTAGGACCTGTAACACAAAGAGTGCCTCTCTAGTGCTGCCAGTGCGAGTTTGTATTCATTCACTACCCAGCATATGATGGGAGTCAGGGAGGGAGGCAGAGATGGAGAACCTGGAAGCTTAGGCAGTGGGATGTATCACGCACTCCACAGAGGAAGATGCACTGGGCAGAAATAGAGATCAAGCATCTCAGGAGTTGGAATTTATATTGTTGGTAAAATAGGATTTCATTTTTTCAAACAGTCATCTATGACTTAGTCGTGGATATTAATAACGTAACACGTAGCACAGGGCCTGGCACCTGGCGTGTACTAAATATTTATTAAATGAATGAAGGGTGAATGTCTCGGATGGTTTGCTTCCTTTTCTTGCTTCTCTGCCAAGAGGGAAATTAATAAACTCAAGTGGATTTGTGGCTAGTTAGCTAATGCTTGATTATGTTTACTTACTCAGCATTCTTTGGGTGCCCGCTGTGGATTAATATGAAGACTTAGGCGTGTTTACCAAATTGAAAGTGACCTTATTTAAGTAGAAATTCCAAACACTTAAAGTAATGACCCAAATGATAGTTGTACTAATTGAAGCATGATTTAACTGATAGGGGAGTCACCCTTTCCTCATCATGAAAACAAAATTCTATTAAAAAATAAATTCTTTCATAGGTCTTATATGATTGACTGGGAGAGAGAGTTGGTACTTAAAATCTATAGAAAAGAATTAGTCTCCAAAAGGATCTTTTGCTCTGGGAGCTGCAGTGAGAGTGTGTTTCATTGGCGGGGGTTGTTAGGATGTCTTCTTTGGGGGGGCTGTTTGTTGCCAGCTTCCTTCCTATGAGAGGGGATCACGGACCCACCTGCCAGAGCTCATGGACCGATTTTGCTAACTTTCAACCTTGTACATCAGTCTGTCTCTTTTTGACTCTTCTTTCCTTCAAATTGTCCCATTTAATTTCCAGCCTCCTTATCTAGACTAACTTTCTCAAGATGGTAGCCTCAGGCGTGGGCTTACCTGTGTGGCCATATAATTCCAAGTGCTCTCTTAGAAAAAAAGGCTTAGCTAAACACATCATTCTGATTGTTATTGTTTGACATCAGGCTACTATATCTCACTCTCTACATTACCATTTTAACAAAGTACCATGAACATCAACCATCAACCACATCAATGTTGTTTGAGGTAGATGAGCATGTTTTTGGCCTTGAAGTCTGAACAAATCACAGGCTAGTTTCAACTTTGTTGGGTTAGACCAGACACGTAAAATATGCTTCTCATTTTGAGTCTGAGTAAATGTCTGTTAAATAGAGAATGAGTAGACTAGACAGGGAGAAGGGAGAATGTAACATGGTCTTAACAACCTAATCTCAGAATCTTACATTTGTTTTCTTTAAAGAATATCTTGTGGGGCGGCACCTGTGGCTCAAAGGAGTAGGGCGCCGGCCCCATATACCAGAGGTGGCAGGTTTAAACCCAGGCCCCGGCCAAAACTGCAAAAAAAAAAAAAAAACCAAAAAACAAAAACCAAAGAATATTTTGTGATACTCTTATTTCAGAGATTGACTGCTTTAGGAAGTTCCAGATGAGGCTATTTGCCCTTGGTTGAGGGGCTTAAACTTTCTGAGATTTATTTGTCTTACCTCTATGGAGTAGATAATTTCCAGGTCTCCTTAGAACTTTTAAAATCCTTCCTAACTGGGTTTCAGGCACCGCCAAGAAAACCGGTAGAGGAAGTATTTGGGGGCCAAGAGGAGAGAGCTTCTCTGCTCCTTCTAATCACACCATCTAACTCTACTTGCCAGGTGGCTGCAGAAATGGAATTTGCTCTTCCTGGTGAGCTGTTCATGCAGCTTTAGCAGCAGCAGCCAGGTTGTCCTTAGTGAGTGTGGCTGTTTTATGAGCCAACTTCACCTTTTAGGGTGGACGATGTGCCCATCCTTCTAGGAGGCAAGTGAGCACACAGCAAGCCCCCACCTGCCATCCAAACACACTGGCTGGATCTGGTCTTGGGCAGGCTCTTGCTTGTAGCTATATCTGATGGAGGCACTGCCTTCCCAGCAGCGAGCTTGCCCAGGTGCCAGCATGCCTCAGAACAGCTCTCTGGCTATCCACAGGACAGGTGAACACAGCTCCTGGTATCACAGGAGGAAAGGGCAGGGTGACCTGGGGCAAAGTGGACACAGCTGAGAACTGAAGCTCCGCTCCCACGAGGCAGGGTGACTTTATGACCTCCCAGGGTTTTGATTTTCCTTCGGTAAAACAAGACGAGGTGTTCTTCATGGGCTTCCCCTGTTTTAAAATTCTGTCCAGATTCAGTTGTGAGCTGGGCATGGTGGTATATGCCTGTAGTTCCCCCTCCTCGGGAGGCTGAGTTCGAGAAGATAGACTTGAGCCCAGAAGTGTGAGGCTGCAGTGAGCTATGATGATGCCATTGCACTCCAGTCTGGGTGACGAACAAGGAGAGAGAGATTCTCTCTCTTTCTCGAAGGATCCGTCTCAAAGGGAAAGGACAGACACTTGCAGCTTTAAGGGCCAAGCAGCAGGAGAGTCCAGCAATTACAAGGTGGTCCCCAAATGTCAGTGTACATAGTCCACTCAGCTGCCTGGGTCCAAGTGCCAGAGGAATTTAATTTTGCCACCCTTTTTATTTGCTCAGGAGAAAAATAAATGGAAAGAAATGAACATGACATTTTACCTAGTTAGAACTGCTACTATACTTAACTCGAGACTTGCATGGGCTCAGCAGCCTGCAGGCACACGAGTCAGTACTTCGTTCTGCTTCCGCGGTAGGGAGTGTAGCGGATGCCCGTCTAGAGAATGTCATGGTTTCGAGGACTTAGGTGTAGGCACCCTCGTGGGATCCCATTCACTCTAGACTTCCAACGCTGCCCGGGCTTCTTTAGCAAAGTCATCTCTCAGTGAGTGTGGGTCTTGGGGGCACGTCTCAAAAGAAAAGTTCGGCTCGGAAGAAAAGTTCAGGGCCAAGTGTATATCTGTCCATCTGCCTCTGTATGAGCTTGGGGTCTGTTTTTAGTACCAGCTGGTATAAACTATTTTTGTCTTTTTCCTTCAGGCTGCCCAAGTCCCCACTCAGGAGATTGGACCCTTACAGAGTAAAAACCAGAGGAAATCACTTCAATTTGTCTCATTCCCCAGGGATGTCTTTGTTTCCAGGCTTCATCCACATTATCTGATTCTACAGTATTCATTATTGGGAGAAATTCAAAGGGAAGCTTAGAAATTGCATACCACTTTTTAGGGGTGAAATTGGATCACGTTTTCAGCTTATAACAAATCTATGTACTATTGCCCGTGGCGAGGCTTATGTGTAGTAGTCATTATGTTTGAAACTTGATTTGTGACTTTGCCAGTAATGGCAGCTAAGTTCATTGATTCGAACTCTGTTCATAGGCGGCTTGTAGATTGTATCATGAGGGAGACAACCGTGGTGCAGTATGAGCTTTTAGATGAGAAGGGCCCCCACTGAGCGACTTGGGCAAGCCCCACAGCTTCTCTGGGCGTTAGCTTCCTCTTTGGTGAAATAAAGATGATGGATACTGCTTTTCTAGTGTTGTTGCAAAGACTGCCTGTGATTTAAAGTAGTGTGATAACCAATGTTTACTGTTTACCCTGTGCCAGGCCTGAGATTCCCCCTAGCAACTCCCTGAGTCTTATGAATGAAGAAACAGAAGCTCTAAGATGGTGATTTTTAACTAGTCTGCTGTGAAAAAATTTTAAAGATCATTAATTATATTAGTTTTGAAAGAAATTCAAAGCACAGTATGTGCTTTTTTCACTTTTTTTGATCAACATAATTTAAGTGTGCCGTGGAAATTTTTTTTGTTGTTGGGGATTCATTGAGGGTACAAGAAACCAGGTTATACTGATTGCATTTGTTTGGTAAAGTCCCTCTTATAATTGTGTCTTGCCCCCAAAAGGTGTGGCACACACCCAGATCCCACCTCCTCCCTCTTTTTCTCTCTCTGCTCTCCCCTTCCCCCACCCTCCACTGTGTACTAGGTCA